TCAGCTTAACTCATATCATTGTGGGAAAATTCTACTGCCAGTCCTTCATCACCTTACACGAAATAGGGTGCATACATCTCATTAGTCTTTTCTTGTCTTGGTTCTAATCCTATTCACTTCTCTGTACTTTTAGCTTACTCTTTCGCTCTCGCATTGAGACCAAAAACAAAAATTATATTCCTCGAAAACCAACTTTTCTTCGCATAGTTCAGATGTGCCTTTTTGAGTTGAGCTAGTTTGACCTATTCACACCTTGCGCTTGTTCCCATTCCTCTAACTGTGCTCGAAGTGTGGATCCATGTCTGCCCTTTTAGCCTGCAATTATCTTCCTCTAGGTCCTGTCAAAGTCTTCCTCTTTTCCCGTAGGAGCCATATTTTATCTCCCTGGTTCAGTGGTTCCACTCGATCACTGTCACCATATCCGTGCTACTTGATGCGGCATGTTTCACACTATGTCTAAACTCTTTAATACCCTGTATCCTCTATCCTCCATACAATTGGTCAAAGGATCGACTTCACTTGCATCATTGACGAGTTGTAGTCTCGTGCTAAGAATAGCAAAGCTAACTGATTTTGCCCATTAGGATGGCAACGAAACGTCTTTGAATGTAGCAAGTCCACGGTTTGACTCATGAAATACCATACATGCTATGGACTACGGACAAGGTGGATTCTTCTAAGTCGTCCTTTTAACACGACTAAATTGCGAATGCAAAGCCCAACAGCAGTTATAAAACAAAATCAGACCGCGACCATATTAAAGGCCACATCATCTTGGTTTTGATAGGTTCCAAAAGTTGGTTGAATTTATTTCGGCATAAATTGGCCCGTCCAAGCTGGTTTGAAGATTCGATTTCATCCACGTCTGACTTTCTTTGTAGGTTGAATATGCAGATATGAAAACTAACTGAGTTTCGAAGATTCGCCTGAAATGGCATTGCTGAGGAGACCTTTATTTCGTATAAAGGTTCATGAAGAAGACGGCTAAACCCCGTTGTACTGCAGTCGTTTGGCCTTCAGACGGCGTTCATGTTGACGCAGTCCACGAGACCTCCTCCTTCGTTTCGGGTGAAAACGGGCTGAGCTATCGTCCATCATGTGATGGACATCATCAGAGCTGGGTTTCATTCTTGTAAAAGGCTTTCGTTAACACTAGGCCAAAAGAAAGTGGGAAACTAGCTAAACTTTCCGTACCCTGACGCCGGTTGACAAAATAGTCAACCATGCATCAAACCAACAATTTGGGGGTTAGCATTGCTTCTTCCAAGAAGTGTTCCTCCAGTCTTGCCATATAATTCTTCGCCAAGATGGGAGCAAGGCAAGATCGCATCGCAAGTTCTCGTGTTTGTTCATATAACTTACCATCAAAGGTGTTACTCATGGATTAGTTAACAAGTCTAATTATGGAGGTTACACTCAACCTTATTCTTTGCATTATCTCTGGATGCTCCTCCAGAGTTTGTATCATGGCTTGAATAGCTCCTTGAACAGGAATGCTTGTGTGCATATACATAACATCACGACTTATTAGCCTATCTTCTTCTGAAGTTATTTGCGGATCAACAAATTTTGCAAACTCAAAGTTTATAGAAGTTGTTTGACCTTGTTTTCGCAACTTGGTCATATTGTTAGGAAGACTTAGAGAAATGCACCTAGTCCGGAGTCCATTGTATGCATCCTCATTTCAAGAGTATGGCCGCGGACGTGGTACATTCCCATACATTCCCATACATTAGGAATGTACCACGTCCACGGTCCTACTCTGGAAATGATGATGCATACAATGGACTCCGGACTAGGTACTTTCCTCTAAGTCTTCCTACCAATATGATCAAGTTGCGAAGACAAGGTCAAATAACTTCTATACAACGAACGGAGACTGCGACCACACAAAAGGCCACACCATCTTGGTCTTCATACCTTCTAAAGATTATAACTGAATATAGCCAAAAATTGGCATTTATCCTTAGTTGTATGGATAAAAAACGTGAGATTTTGAGTCACGCTTCTTTTACTATTAAAAATTACTCTAACAGGCAGATCCTCCTTGTGAACCTTAAAGAGACCGTAAGCCACGGGGGCCTTTGCATTTCTCTGGAATAGTGAATTCATTTACCATTTCACCATTACCAACGCATACCTTAAGAGAATCCTTTAGCCTAGTCTTAATTAAGCCCTTCCGTTGGATGTCCCGTTAAAGGCATGTACGTGTTAGTATTGTCTAAATGAAATAGCATTTTTGCTAGGCAACTTGACCTAGACAAGACTACCACTGCTCCACCTTTGTCGGTTTTCATAACGATTGGATTATTACCACATGAATAGCTAAAAGTAAAATATCCCATGTTACCCCTTTGGTGTCCATGGCGCACGACCCGGCCTGGAGGTGCAGGTGAGGCCAGGATGAGGCCAGGATGAATATATTTCATGCACGTGTCGAGCACGCACACTCCGACCTCCATCGGTAACTAATGTGTCGCAGGACGATGTGAATTAAGAAGGACATGACAGGCTTTTAAGTTTACGCTTGTCATGCAACACGGCATTGGGATGTGGACATAAGAAAGGCTTTTTGGGATGTGGGCCAAAATGACATTTAGCGCAAACAACAGACATTCTGTTCAATTCCTTTTTGACGAAGGTATGAAGACCAAGATGGTGTGGCCTTTTGTGTGGTCGCAGTCTCATTTCGTTGTATAGAAGTTGTTTGACCTTGTTTTCGCAACTTGGTCATAGTGGTAGGAATCCTTTTTGACGGATTCGCTCTCTTCCAAATAGGTCATTAGTCGAAACCACTATCCCACAACAGCAATAAAATTTCTGAAGGTATAAAGACCAAGATGGTGTGGCCTTTTGTGTGGTCGCAGTCTTCTTTTTTTGAATAGAAGTTGTTTGACCTTGTTTTCGCAACTCGGTCATATTGGTAGGAAGACTTAAAGAAAC